TAACTAGTAATAGCCTATAATGAAAGAGTTTATAAAGAAATAACAAACACAAACAAAACAACTAAATAAAAGGGGGCTGTGATGATTTTGTGTGTCAACTTGAGTGGCCTATGAGGTGCCCAGCTATCTGGTTAAACATTATTTCTGGTGAGCGGGTTTCAGAATGAGATAAGCATTTGCATCCACAGCCTGAGTGAAGCAAGTGCCCCTCCCCTCTGTGGGCGAGCATCATCCAGTCTATTGAAGGTCTAAATAGAATAAAAGGCTGAAAAAGAAAACATTCTCTCTTTCTGCTCTAAAAATAAATCTCTTTTTATAAATAGGAGATATAGAGAGAGTTACATAGATATTCACCCTATTGGCTCTGTTTCTCTGGAGAATCCAGGCTAATACAGAGGCCATGTATGGACAACAAAACAATGTGTCAGAACCCAGGATCATGATTAATTAACTCTGTGCCCCTGAGATCTGAAATAAAAAAGAAAAGAAAGAAAAAGAGACGTGTTTCTCTGTGAGAAACAAGAGCAGAATGATAATTCAGAAACAAATGACAGACTTGTAAGAAACATTTCCGTATTTGTCTACGTAACAAAAAGGCAGTGAATACTCTTAACCTCTTGTAAAGAATTCCAAATCAAAAAGGAAAAAGCAGACATTCAACTGATAAAACATGTAAAACACTTGATCAGGTTTTCCTTTTTTTTCAATAACATGTAAACAGCGCGAGGACAACATGTTAAACCTTACTTGGAAACAAAATAAAAAGACCTTTTCCACATACGCCTGAGTGTTGGGAGCCCGTTCTCTCACTATCATAGGAGTTTTCAAATATGAAAATAGAAAGGGTAGTATGTTTGCACTGAGAGGGCAGAAGCAGTGCCACACTCGTGGCATTCAGAGCTTGGCTTCTAAATACCCTGCTCTACGAAAAGGCGCAAGGACTCCTTGGGGGGAAAAGAGGCAAGTTCCAAAGATGGTGCAAGGAAAGTAGGAGGTAAGCCTGGAATACCACGTTGCATCAGCAAAGAACTAAGCATCCAAAGAATGATAGGGACATATCACAAGCACACAGAAGCCAGCTAGAAGCGACTCTCACTAGTCATATTTGTGACAATTTGAGCATCAAAAGGGGGTTGTAACCCAGTAAATAAGAGAAGAATCTAGGCGTCTGTGATAATGTGAATACATGCATGTATATATACATATGTATATTCATTCATTCCTACAAGAGATGGGAAAGCTCCTCCTGACAGAAGACAGGCAACCAATACATGTAGAAGGAACACTGGACATCAGCGGATGCTAGAGCTGGAGGTTGAGGCTGATGGGATACAGTGTATTTGCAGAGTCTCAGAGTGTTTGCCTACAAAGAGCATACAGATGGAAAACTAGTAACTTTATGGTGGAGAAACCTGGCAGACACCCACTAAACTAAATGATCAAAGTTAATGTCTCTAAAAAGGAACGAATGAACGTCATGTGCGTACTGATATGCTGTTCCAAGGACACAATGTTAACTCTTTAGTCTTCCTACCAAAAATGCATAGCGTGAGTCTAAGCATGAAGAAACATCAGACAAACCCAACCTGACAGGCCTTCTATGAAGTAACTGGCTCTCAGTCTTCCTAAATATCAAGATCAAAAAAAAAAAATCAAGAAAAGCAAAGACATTGTTCCAAAGCAAACACGACTAAAGAGACATGACAACTGATGCAGTATGTGATACAAGATTAAATCCTGGACTGGGAAAAACTGAATAGCTAAAAATAATATCCTTAGACAATTGATAACATGTGAGTAGAGACTGTGGATTAGATAACAGCATTGTATCAATCTTCCACTTCCTGATTGTGATAATCACATGATATATATGAGGATGTCCTTCTCTTATGAAATACACACTGAATTATTTAGTAAAAAGGCACAGTGTTGCCAAATTAACTCTTACATGATTTGGTGGGGAGGGGGTAGAAACCGTATCTAGAAATAGAGATGGAGATAGAAACAGAAATAGAAATGTCTGTATGTATGTGTAGAAAGAGAGAGATATACTGGTATAATGCTTACACACACATACGTGTGAAATAAATGTGAAAAATGAAAACAGTTGGTGAATCTGTATAAAAGGTATACAGGAGATTCTTGTACTATTATTTAAAAGTTGCTTTATAAAATATATATGTACATACATACAAATGTCTATATCCAAAGTAGGTGGAAATTAAAGGAAGTAGAGGCTGAAATACACTGCTGGTGGGAGCATATGATTTGGTATTACTTTTCTGAATGTTGACCATTTGGCGACATATAGCAGAACTCTATATTTTTGCATCTAATTTTGACCGTATAGAAATGTGAACATGGAAGCACGTAAATCCAGAGCTACAATGATCATTATATGGGAAATCTGGAAAAACCCAAATGGCCAATAATAGGAAACCGATTGAACAAATTATACAACATGCATTCAATGGAATAAAAGTCCAATCCATTAAAGTGCCAGTGCAGAAGACTATTTTATTACATGGA